ATAAACAGCTTTGCATTAACTGAAGCAACTAATATTTGAAACAAGTGTCTTGTAAATTACACTGGCAACATATGTCCTTAAAGTAACACAGCCTTGCCTATGAACCCAATATTTCTATTCAATGCCATTAAACACAAGTGCACACATATTCAGAATTCTGCAGTTTACAGCACAACTTTGAACCTAAACATATTTATTTGGATGCATATTGGGTTTTATGGAACTGGGATCAGATTCAAACACTCAGAAAAAGCATACGGCATAGTCCTTCTAAAAGTCACAGGGAAGTGATTTCCCCTCTCTGAAAACTCCTTGCAAGCGGAAAGGTAGCAAACCAGGAAGCACAAACCTACCTATGGTTTCCTGGCCTTGAGGAAAAGGTCCCATCCCTTTCCTAGGGGCTTCCAAGTCATGGAAAGCATCAGCCATCCATTTCCACACATTAACCCTCTATTATTAAAGGGGGGAGGGGAACATGTTCCTGCAGGCCTGTTGGCAACCTCAGGCCTATCCTAATCCTAACATGCTAGCTTTATGCCATAAAGGCAGGTGCACATGTAACTGTACTAAATCCTTTCCCTGCAATGAAGAAAACAGCCAATTACGGAATTGCATTTTCCATGCACCTCAGACCCTTTCTCTATTCCTGGCTGCAGTCTTTTCTCCTCTCATACGTCCCCGATAATTGTAAATGCTAACAAAGGTCCCCGCTTAAACAGGATGTGAAATCAAGTTTGAAAGCTGTTCAAAGCAGCCAGTTACTTTCACTGTGGTTAATGTTAGTGTCAGCATAACATTTAGTTGCATTTACAGGTATCAGAGTGGGGAGATTTGCACTAGAAAAGACATGGAAAAGGATGGAGGAGGGAGCATAGAGTCCTGTAGGATCATGAGCTGAAGTTATACTACATCTGCCCTGACCCCAAGACAATATTATGTTCAAGACAGAGTAAAATATCCTGGTGTGTAGGTACAAACTTCTCATAGTACTTTTAAAGCTCAAATGAGGCAGTGCTTGAATGCCAGTTTCTTAAATGCTGTCTTCAGTCAAACCTGAATTGAATCCAAACAAACTCTGTGTATCTGTTCTCCCTGTAGCTGGGATTTGCATATCAGAGAAACGTTTGATGTCAACAAGAAGATAGAGACCAGGTTTCTTTTCATTTAAAAACAAATACACAACTTCAAGTATATGCATATAAAAGCAGACTTCCTTGTTTT